GATTGGCAAGACAAGTCGAATGGGGAAAATGGCGGACGTTCAGCGCCGCCGTGCTTATTGATTCCGTGGAACTGCAAAATCTCCTTGGCGAATGATATCGTATGGTAATACGAGCCCGTTTCTTTATTGCTTGGGGCATGACGGGCGTCATGGCCCCCGCTCCCCCCCCCCCCCTATAACGTAGCGCTCCCCCCCCCAGTGCGCTCTGGGCACTGCCGCCGTGCGCATTGGGATCCGCGTAGGTGTCCGCGTAGGAATCCGCATAGGTGTCTGGTCCGCAGGAGTCGTCGTCGTCGTCGTCGTCGTCGTCGTCGTCGTCGTCGTCGTCGTCGTCGTCGTCCGTCGTCGTCGCTCGTGGTTCGTCGCTCGTCGCTCATCGTCGTCGTGCGCGCGGACGCGGCTGGAGCCTGTTTTTTAGTCCGGGCCGATGATGGCAATCATCTGGGTGGGGAGGGGGTCGATGACGCCACGTTTCGCGCCGGCGGCGTCTGGGAATGCTTAGGAATGACGCAGGACGGGTAGCACGAACATGTAGGTGGCGATATGCACCACAACGCCAGTGTACATCACAGTGCCCGCGTGCACCGCAGCGCCTGTGTAACCACACCGTCGATGTACACCACAGCAGCCGCGTGCAACACAGCGTCAGTTTGTGCCACCGTGCCTGCGGGCACAGCAGTTCCTGCGTACACCGCAGCGCTTCCGTACCCCACATCAGCCGTGAGCAACACAACACCAGTGTACACCACAATGCCTGCGTGCATTGCAGTGCCCGTGTACGCCACGGCGCCTGTGCGCACCACATCAACCGTGTGCAACACAGCACCATTGTTGTGGATAGAAATTCAGAAGGGATCGTTGTGACAAAATGGAGCGCGTGTGGATTCCATAGAAAAAATGGACAACAAATCCTCATGGACAAAGGAGCGCCGCTGGAATCTACGAGTCCCCCCGAGTCCGCCCGCATCACCCTAGCTCCCATTTGCGTCCAGGAGGCTCCAGCTAAACTGGCCGTCCGAGAACCAAGTGGACCGATTCAATCGAACATTCTGCGGTGCACGCTGAGATGCTCACGTGCTCTGTAACGCCAAGCCGCACGACAGGGGGTAAGAAGGAGGAAAAAAACAAGGAGGAGGAGGAGGAGGAGGAGGAGGAGGAGGAGGAGGAGGAAGAGGAGGAAAAGGAGGATGAGGTGGAGGTGGAGGAGGAGGGAGGAAGGGAAAATGTCGCATTCGATTATCAGAACTTTCCTGGCGTGGCGTTTAGTTGTCTGCAGCAGATCCTGACGTACATGTTCCTTCTACCTGTCCTGTGCACGCAGGCGCTGTGGTGTACACCGGCGCTGCGTTGCACGCGGATGCTGTGGTGTAGACAGGCGCTGTTGCGTGCACGCGCGCTGCGGTGCACGCAAGCACTGTGGTGTACACAGGCGTTGTGTTGCACATGGCTGCTGCGGTGTATGTACACCGGCGCTGTAGTGCTCCCAAGAATTGTGGTATATGCGGGCGGTGCATTGCACACGGCTGTTGCGGTGTACGCAGGCGCTGTGGTGCACACGCGCGGTGTGGTGCACGCGGGCGTTGTGGTGTACACAGGCGCAGTGGGCAGATCGCCACTTACATGCTGCTCGCGTCGTCGTCGTCGCTCGTTGCTCGTCGCTCGTCGCGTCGTGCGCGCGGGCGCGGCTGTGGTGCCGGAGCCACCCGGCGGGGGGGGCGTCACGTCATACCCCCCCCGCCCTCCCCTCCCCCTCTCATGACGCCCGTCATCGCCGAACATAAAGAAACGCGCTCTACCATGCGCATGTCCGTGTACCGGGTGAACCTTCGGTTGCGCCGCAGTACAAGGGTAGACGCGTCGTGCGTGGAGATCTGGGGGAGTCGTTGGGTAATCGCACGGATTCAACAACAGGCCGAACAGGCCAATTGGAAGGGCTAAAGTTGATAGTATCATGGGCTGCCGGTGCGAAGAAGACGCTCAAGTGCGCCGGCATTGCATCTGCGTACTTCCAGGGGCAGGAAGTCGACCGCTTCATGCTGCTCAAGCCACCGCCCGACGGACCCGAAGGAATACCGGATGGTGGAGCACTGATCGCGCGTATGCCTGTCTATGGCACGCGTGGTGCAGGACATGGTTGATGAAAATTCGCAAAACTTGTGAAGCTCATGGTCTAAAGGAAAATCGTATCATGTCTGCTTTGTTCAGTATTCACAATGACAAGAGCGAGGTCACGTCTATGTTAGGTACACATGTGGATGACATGCTGTGGGCTGCAGGTGATGAAAGTCAGAAAGTCAGCGGTTCGGTACCAGCAGAGCTTGATACTCGCGAGACCAAGTCGGATAATTTCCGCTACTGCGGGTTAGAAGTTGTTCAATATGAAAATTGCACGTCGAGTATCACGGCCAATGACGACATTGGGAATATCGAAGTTGTACCCCATCTTAGAGACAGTCCCGTCACGAGAAAATGCAGTGAGGGCGAGACAGCACAGCTGAGGTCGGTCGTAGGTGCTTTGTCATGGGTTGCACGTGAGTAAAAACCTGAGCTACTGTACCGTGCGAGCAGACTGCAGACTGCTGCGCGTCACGCTAAAGTGCTCAAAGAAGCCATCCGTGTATTAGGTTGAGCAACTCACTCCGCTGACTGCGGTCTAGTATTCAAAGGTGGAGGTGTTAAGCGGCATCCATATATGATAGTTCCTACTGTTACTGACGCCAGCTGGGCAGGAGAAGAAAGTGTATTTAGTCAAGAGTAGAATCGGGCCTCTCAGGTCACACAGGACTAGGTTCAATGGACTCGCAGGGCCTGGACTCATTGAGGGGAACAGTGATCATGTTCACCCTGTATGCGTATCGAGTAAAATTACCAATCGAGTTTGTAAGTCTACACTACAAACAGGGACCCTGGCTTGCTTATGGGGTGTAGAATATGGTGTACGCGGTCGTGTCGCCATCGCAGATGCGCGTGGGATGCTTGGCGCCAGGAAGAAGTTGTCAACCAACTGGGAAGACAAACCAGCCATGTTTATGAGGCACTTATGGATGACGGATTGCAGAAGCTTTGAAGAACATCTCATAACACCAACTATGGGTAAGGCAGAAGATAAGCGCTTGAGTATCGAATTGCGTAATTTAAGACAAGACATTTTGCTTATTGGCACGGAAGAAGTATATATATTATATCCACGCATATTTTGTGATCATATCCGATGGATTGATGCAAGTATTATGTCTGTTGGTTGTCTGGCGAAGAATCTGCCTACATTTTTCTTGCTTAACATTGTACGTGCAAGTTCGTACGGCATAGCTCCAGCCCCTGAATCTACTTCAAGGAAGGTCAAGGAACAACTGGCGAGGGCCAGGGAACATGCTATCCCATCGGGGAAGTGAGTGACTGAGTCCTGGCTGCCTTTGTTTTGAGTAATCCCAACGTGGGAGTGCTCATTTCACTGCTCCTAGAGGCTTACTGAAACCAGCGGTACTGCGCGGTCTGCCGGCTAGCTCGTGATACAGTTTCACGGGTGTGAGACAGTGCGTGTATCACGTGTGTATATGCGCCAATCGCCGCCGTTTGACCTTTAGGGGCACTTTTTTGCCATTGCGCTACAACGCATCAGGATCACACGGGTGCTGATGACGATGGTGACGATGTTGATGATGATCATGACGATGATGTTGATGTTGATGATGCTCATGATGGTGATGGTGATGCTGATGATACTGGTGATAATGATGCTGATGATGATGGTGCTGAGAGTGGCTGTGCTGATGCTTATGATGATGCGGATGATGCTGATGATGATGTTGCTGCTGAGAAGAGGATGTTGAGGAGGAGCGCATTGACGACGAGGGGGGCGAAGTGGCAGAGAGGATCGATGGGATTCGGTGTCTTCTACACACGAAGCTATGTTTCCCACATCATCTGTTGCACTTGCAATGGAGCAGTGCTTTCATGCACGAGTATCGCCTGTGCGGAAATTCGCCCGCAGTTCCTTCGAGGGCCCAGGAACCGAACGCGTGATCAGTCAGTCGCACCGTCGTGAGGAGGTGCGGCCTATGGGCTCGAGGAGGAAGGGGAGCAATTGCAGGAGGAGGAAACGGCGGAGGAGGAATAGGAGGATGGGGGGTAGGAGGAGGCGGACAGAAGGACGCCTCGGAGGCTGCGTCGTCTTCAAACTGCCTTGTTGCACGCCTTGCTCTTGGCGTGCGCCTCCTCCCCCTCCTTGCTCCCCCGTGCCCCAGAGCCGAGGTCTGGAGGGAACTGGCGGGAGGCCGGGCGGGGATAAAGGGCAAGGGCAGATGAGGTAGGCACGGTGGCCGAGACTTTCGACCTAGCGAGTGCTACACCGCCCCGACGCCTCCTGCAGAGAGGTATGTGCGGTTTGGGCCAGATCGCTTGATGGCGACAGCAAACCATCGGCATGTATTGATAGGTTGGCTCGATAATCTCAGCCAGATGCTAAGGGCAACCAGTCTAGTGCAGCGAGGGGTGTGAGTTGACGATTCAGCGGAAGACGAGCATTGTTCGTTCGTTCGTTCCTTGCTCCCCCCTCCTTTGCAATCCCTTACGGCGTCAGCGTCGGCTTCAAACTTCGCTCTTGCACGCCTTGCTCTTGGCGTGCTCCTTCGCTTCACGGCGGGCGTCTTGTCGTCGTCGCGTGTCGTTGCTTCATCGTTGCCGTCGTCGTCCGTCGTCATCGTCCGTCGTCGTCGTCGTCGTCGTCGTCGTCGTCGTCGTCGTCGGTGTCCGTCGTCGTCGTCGTCGCCGTCGCCGTCGTTGTCCGTCGCCGTCGCCGTCGCCGTCGCCGTCGCCGTCGTCGTCGTCGTCGTCGCTGGCCGCCGCTTGTTTTTTACTCTGTGCCTGGACCTCGTGCCCCTATCCGGGCGCGCGCGGGGCCAAGCCAAAATCATCGAACCCCTCCTCTCCCCTCCCCCTCTGCTCCCCCGCCGCCGCTGCCGCCGCCGCTGCCGCCCGCCCGCTCTCCAGCGAGCGGCCAGGCATCTGCGGGCTCGTGATCACTTCGTTGTCGCTGCTGCCCATCGGGCGTCTCGACGGTGGGTCGGCCTGGGAGAGAGGGGTCTGCGGGTGAGGAGGGAGAGAGGGGTGGGGGTTGAGGGAGAGGGGAGGGGGGAGATAGAGGGGAGGGGTGATCGTCCTCCTCCCTCCTCTTCACGCGCAGCGCGTTTGAAGCCCTCGCGACTGCACTGGTACAATCTGGCCGAGGCCCCAGGCTTGCAGGATGTGTGACTGGCTCTGTGTTGAGCGGCTCGAGTTGCCACGCCGCCCCGTGCCCGCACTGCTTCTGCCCTCTCGGGTCAGACATGAGTCCGCCTGCGCTGAGGGGTGGTCGTGGTTGAGGAGGCCCGAGAGGGAGGGGAGGGCAGGGTGTGCGGGTGTGGACTCTGCGATCGCGCTGCTGTTCCTCTTGCTCCTGGAGTGGCTGGCTGCCCCATCTGGCATGGGGTAGAGAAGGTGGCGGCTTGGCTCAACAGAAGTAGGAAGAGGATAAACAGCCAGAGCAGGATGAGCGTGAGGTGGAACGGCATCCTCCGCAGTAAGCGCGAGATCGGTGCCGCTGAGGCTGCTCACACGATCGTAGCTTGAGCCAACGTGGCTGTCGAGGGGGATGTGGGAAGGGTGACTAGAAGGATGGGTAATCTGAAGGGGTTTGGGGAGGGGGGGGAAGAAGGCTGAGTCGGACAAGGGGCAGGATGATAATGTAAAGGGGGATGATGTGGCGGAAGAGGAGGAGGAGGGTGAGGAGCAAGTGGAAGAGGACTGAAAGCCAAAGGGCATTCTAACGCGACCCAGCGCGGGGGAGCTGCAAGATCAGCCGGATCATTAGCCATAATTGCCGCTGCTTCTGGCGACAGGGCGGAAGGGGCCCGATGCTCATTGGCCCCAGATGATCTCCTGGAATCGTTCTAGACTCTACTAGGGTGATCGGGGGAGTCCCCACTCACATAGGTAGGCCTGGCGAAGGGGACATTCCAACTGACTGGTTGCGATGAAGTGTGCGTGGCAGGATCTAAGAACGTGCAGGGCCCTGATGTGCATGTGGGGGTACGAGGAGGCGCCCCCGCCCTTCCCAGCTGCAGTCGATTCCACCCCGGCATCTGTCGGCCCGCAGGAGCGGCCGGGCCCGCGGATCCAAAAGGGGTACCCAGCGGCGGAGTGAAAGCCCGAGCAGCTGATCGGCCGCTTCCGCGAGTGCCACAGCGGGGGGCCTTCGCCGAAGGCCTCGACTCCCGAAGCTGCCCCGACTGCTGGACTGCGGGTTCCCGCCCGGAGGTCTCCTTCAAGAAGGGCAGCATATTAGAAACAAGCCAACGGGAAATTTCCGAGAGCCGCTTAAGCCATCACCCCCCTCGATCCTTGGGTCGAGGGCGACGCTTATCAGGAGGATGAGGAGGAGGAGGAGGAGGACCAGAGTAAACCAAAGATATGCATAGCCTGCCATTTAGGCGACAGCCCCGTTTCGAAAATAAACTCAGTGCAGTGTATCTTCCCCGCGAGTCAAAAGGAATACCCACAGGGATCACCACCATATAGGTCTAGGAGGTGTCCAGCGAGACCTCCGTTTTGCAAGATGACCGTCTCCATCTGTCTAACCTTTGCACCGGTTTTCAAATCTTGCCATGAGTGTCGGGAACATCACAAACGAAACAACCATGTTGACAAGGAGCAGCCTTTCATCCGTGCAGCTGTTGCGTCCGCCCTTCATCGGTGCAGCTGTTGCATCTGTCCGAGAATCTGTCTGGTCTTTGAAATTACAGAAAGGAGCCGCCCACAATCCTGTAACTGCTGCTAGCTTTCAAGACAAATGTTTTCGGCGCTACGGCGTCAGGCCGCACTTCGGAAAGGAGCACGCAACACTTACTAGACATATATGTATGCATATATATATATATATATATATATATATATATATATATATATATATATATCCGTGAGGGCTGCGCCGCCTACCGCCGGCCCATTCTCTCGGAGAATGGGCCATGGAAGAGCGAAGTCATGAGGATTCGGCTTCACCGTGAAGCAGCGTCGGAAATTCATGCGAAGACGATGGGTAATTGGCAAGACGAATGGAGATTGCGAGTCTATTGTTGTACTCGCCGTTGTATTTTCTATTTGCTCCCGTATGCTGTGCCCAAATCTTCTCCCCGAATTTGGAAATGCTGGAAGTCTCTTGTGTCCTGACGGCGCGGAAGTGCGTGAGGGGTGCCCCAGAATTTCAGACATGTGGCAACTCCCGTGTGTTTTTAGACCCTGACACCGCCGATCTGTGTGAGGGATGCAACCGGATTTTAAAACATGTGCACAATCCTCTATGCTTTTGGACCCTGACCCTGTCGATCCGCTTGAGGGGTGCCACCGAATTTCAGAAGTGCTGATAATCCTTTGTGTTTTCGGACCCTGACCCCGCCGATCTGCGTGCGGGGTGTCATCGAATTTCAGAAATGTAGCAAATCCCATGTGTTTTTGCACCCTGACCCCGCCGATCTGCGTCAGGGGTGCAAGCGAATTTTAGAAATGTGGCAAATCCTTTGTGTTTTTGTTGACCCTGACCCCGCCGAACTGCGTGAGGGGTGCCAGCGAATTTTAGAAATGTGGCAGATCCTTTGTGTTTTTTGCACCCTGACCCACCCCAGCAATTCAGAGCACACGCTCAGGGCGTGCTAAACCTGCCCGTTTGGGCCTCCCCCACTCGCGCGGTCCATCAACAAGGAACAGTACGCAGCACGAAGCAGAACTGTAACAGTGGAAACTGGAAACTGCAACTGGCACAGGAAACTGCGAACCTTCGACCTACAGCCTGGTGGCCCCACAAGGGGGCCGGCGGATTTTTATATAGCAGCTACAACCTTTTGATACGAATGTGCGTGGCGCTAAGGCGAGCGCCCCGTTTTGTAAAAGGAACCGCCCTACATGCTTGACCTCCGCTTCAGCTTTTAAGTCAAATCTGCGTTGCGCTCAGGCGATATTTCAATTTATCAAGACGACGCCCTAGTTGCCCCTGAAGTGTTGCAAACTTCTGTGACGAATGAGCGCGGCGCCAAGGCGAGAACTACATTTGAAAACCATCCGCCGTCCATCCTTGAAACGGTTGCGTACTTTAAAACAGAATGTGCGCAACGCTAAGGCGAGAACCAACTCTTGAACACGCCCCCTTTCCGTCCGTGAAGCTGCTGCAGAGTTTGGAAACAGAATCTGCGCGGCCCTAGGGCGAGAGCCCTACATCTTGAAAGCGATCTGCCCTCCATCCTTGAAATTGTGGCAAGCTGCAATCTTCAGGGTCATGGGCGAAGAGGAACTCTCAGGCGAAACGCCCAGCCCGCCTTGCCGGCACAGTTGGGGGTGCGGCAGAGAGAGGTTGTTCTTGACGCTTCTCGTGACCCCGCCAACGCATCCAAAAACGAGGCCAGACGAGGTGCCTTGATCAGGGATGTCGATGAGCATGCAGCGGAATAAAGGGTTGTGTAAAACATCGTACTCCACGAGGGGAAGGATGGAGGAGGAATCGGAGGAGCAGCATGAGCAGGAAAAGGAGGGAGAGGGGGAGAGGGAGGGTCGGAGGAGGAAGGAGGAGGAGGCGGATGAGGCAGAGGACGAGGAGGAGGAGGAGGAGGAGGAGGGAGGATGGGGAGGTGTTAAAGCATGTCGTGGCAACTGGGGAAGCAGAGTGAATGCCAGTGGGTGCATTAGCGCGACCATTCTGGCTCAAGCATCTATCAGTGGAGCGTTCGCCTAGCCCCGCTGTTAAGACAGCATCGTCCATGTACTACGGTAGATCATCCTGGAGACCTTGCATGGTATCGGAGCGTCGGTTGCAATGGCAGGATCCGGGTCCTGGACAGGTCATAGCCACTCCCGGATATGTCCTCGACAGTAATTGAATCTGGTACGAGTTGCAATTTGTCACAGGCCATGGACCTTGAACAGCCCGAGCGCGTTAAAGAGGTGTCGGGTAGTTTGGGTGAGGGGCGCTTCGGTGCAGGCATTCGATAAACATGGAAGTGATTGCGCGTTGCCGCTGCCGTTCAGGTTTGAAGCCCAGCGTGCGATCATGAGCCGCGCGATCGACTGGTTTGACGAATGTCAGCAGGGACCTTTCTCGGCGCCCGATGGTCTCAACGCAGATACTTACCGACACTTCCACGCCAAATGTGAGGATTGGGCCAACATAAACAGTTAGAGGCTGGTACCAAAAACAAGGACGCCATGGACGCGGGGAGCATGGATAGCGAGTTGCATATCAGGAGGTTTGACTGTTCTGTGATATGTCGATGACGGCGGTGACTTGTTGCCCAACGGCGGTTGCTGGCAAGGTAAGGCCGAGCATGACAATGATGAGTAGACGCGGTTACCAAATGACAACGGAACAAGGCGTCAGCTGTTACAACCCGGTTGGTTTGGACATTTGGCCAAGGACTGCAGGAGTTCCAAAAGTTTCGAAGGTGGAGGAAAATGATGTGAGGGAGCAAAGAGGCAAAGGAGGCTACCGAACCATGTGGGGCAGCCACCTTACAGGGAAGCATGGCGGTGAACGTTTGAACAGCCGTTGCTGTTACGGCGGCAAAATCTTCGCTCCACATGCTGATCGCAAATGTTACACATGTGGGGGCAAGGGGCTCATCGCTGTTAACCGTGCCAAGTCGGCCAACGAGGTGGGGCAGGGCAGCCGGAAGAGTTCGAAGCCCGCCATGTTCGGTCAACCACAAGAGCGCGGCCTTGGGGGATTATGGGCGAGGATGCCCGAGTTGATTCAGTGATTCGGTCCGCAGAGCCACCGGCCATTGCCAATCAGCCTTGGAGGTTGAACGAGCAGAGACATGAGAAGAGAAGGCTCAGTGGGCACGATGCAATCGACGCGCGCAAACTATACCAACGACATCACTGTGGGAATGATTGCAACCATGGGGACCAATCGATTGACGGCGGTATCGAGCATGGCAGCCGCAGGCGGTTAGTGGGGTGCCGAGACGCGGGGCTAGTGGAGGCCCAGAGGGGGCGCGCAGGAGGTTAACGCGGTGCCGCAGGGCGACGGAGAACA